CCCCATTCTGGAGGGCCGTATGCAACAGTCACACACATCGTGCTCTTCGAGTTCCCAGAACTCCATTCCCGGGCCACATTTTGGATGCCCGGAGCCAACTGTAGGCCACTTCGTGCTCTTCTATTTCCCAGAACTCCATTCCCGGGCCACATTTTGAATGCCCGGAGCCAACTGTAGGCCACTTCGTGCTCTTCGAATTCCCAGAACTCCATTCCCGGGCCACATTTTGAATGCCCGTAGCCAACTGTAGGCAACTTCGTTCTCTTCGACTTCCCAGAACTCCCATTCCTGGGCCACATTTTCAGCACGGGCAAGAGCACGACGAGGAGGAGGACGAGCAAGACCAGGAGGACGAGGACAAGCAGGAGCAGGGGCAAGAGCACGACGAGGAGGAGGACGAGCAAGACCAGGAGGACGAGGACGAGCAGGACGAGGAGCAGGAGGAGCAGGAAAAGAAGGACGAGCAGGAGGAGGAGGAGGACGAGCAGGAGGAGGAGGACGACCAGGAGGAGGAGGATGACCAGGAAGAGGAGGAGGAGGAGGAGGAGGGGAGGGGGAGGAGTACCAGGAGGAGGAGGAGGAGGAGGAGGAGGAGGAGGAGGAGGAGGAGGAAGAGGAGGAGGAGGAGGAGGAGGACGAGGACGAGGAGGAGGAGGAGGAGGGGGGGGGAGAGTACCAGGAGGAGGAGAACGAGGACCACCAGGAGGAGGAGGAGGAGGAGGAGGAGGAGGAGGAGGAGAGAACACCAGGAGGAGAAGGACGAGCAAGACGAGGAGGACGAGAACGAGGACGACCAGGAAGAGGAGGAGGAGGAGGAGGAGGGGAGGGGGAGGACTACCAGGAGGAGGAGGAGGAGGAGGAGGAGGAGGAGGAGGAAGAGGAGGAGGAGGACGAGGAGGAGGAGGAGGAGGACGAGGAGGAGGAGGGGGGGGGAGAGCACCAGGAGGAGGAGAACGAGGACCACCAGGAGGAGGAGGAGGAGGAGGAGGAGGAGGAGGAGGAGGAGAGAGCACCAGGAGGAGGAGGACGAGCAAGACGAGGAGGACGAGAACGAGGACGAGCAGGAGGAGGAGGAGGAGGAGGAGGAGGAGGAGGAGCAGGAGAAAGAGGAGGAGGAGGAGGAGGAGGCAGGCTGAGGCTGAGGCTGTGACTGCGACTGCCGTTGCCGCTGCGACTGTCATCGCGAATGCGACTACGACTGCGAGAACAGCAGAATTCGACAACTTGATTTTCATCTGAATCTTAAGGGGAATGCTTTCAGATATGCTTCTACACATCGCTGTTAGGTTGCTTTGCCGGGATATTTTTTTTAATGTTTGGTCGCCCTCTTGGGCTTCTCTGGGTGCAGTTTTGGAGCCCTCTTGGGCCGTCTTGGGGGCCTCTGGGGCCGTCATGGGGCCATCTGGGGCCGTCTTGGGGCCGTCTTGGGGGTCTCTTGTGCCGTATTGTGGCTGTCTTCGGGGCCTCTGGGGCCGTGTTGGAGCGTCGGGAAGCCGGAGAGACAAAAAGGCAAACAACACCGAAAAACACAATGGAAAATCAACAATTTTAGCCTCTTGAGGCCATCTTGGAAGGCTTGTTTGGGACCTCTTGGGCCGTCTTGGAGGCCTCTTGGCCAATCTCGGGGCCATCTTGGGCGTCTTGGAGCACATGTGTGGCGTCTCGGGGCCCTCGTGAGCCGTCTTGGAGGCCTCTTGGGGCCTTCTTGCGCCGTCTTGACGCCCTCTTGGGTCCGGAGAAGCCTCGTGATGCGCTCGCGCCGGGCCGGGGGGGGGGGTCAAATCTCCGGTTTGGGGTCCCGGGGGGGGTATGGGGGGGGAATTATCTCACACGCCTAGAGACCCACGAGGGGTCGGCGGATTTGGGCCTCCGGGGGGTCATCGTGGGGCCCTCTTGGGGCGTCTTGGAGGCCTCTTGGCCATTTTAGTGCCATATTGTGCGTGCTGACGCCCTCTTGGGCTGTCTCGGAGCCCCCTTGGACAGTCTCTGGGGCGCCTCGGGGCCATCCTGGCCCGTCTTCGGGCCCTCCAGCCTCAGGGAAAGTCACGCGGGAAGCCCACGAGCTCGTTGGAGCGCCTGGAACTCTGGATTGTGGCCCCCTTCATTTACAATAGTCAGCTCTGAGAGCTCGAATTCCAGGACTTGACGATACTCCACACAGTGCTTCGCGAAATGGTGGCGGATTCCGAAAGCAAGAACTCCTTAGTGCAAGCACTGTTTGTGGAGCCATCGTCGGCGACACGCTTCCACCGATTGCCGTGTCTAAGTTCAAATGCTTGTCGCCAGGGACTGATCTTCAGCGACGACGGTTGGGCCGGCCAAGATTTCCAGGCGTCGCGAAAGAAAAACACAACAGGCGTGTTTTGTTGTCTTCGCGGCCCCGCACTCTCAAACACGACCCGCGACAGAACAGCGCCGCGGGGGACTGGGATGGAGGGTTCCAGGGCCCACGGCGTGCAAAAATCACGAGATGAAGGGGGACGGGAGATGGGCGAACCAGGTCTTCATCACCACACCCGACGGCGAGCTCCAGGCAGCCGGCCCCGGTGGCGGCGATGCTCTGTGCCTGGAGGTGGAGGGCAAGCTCGGGCCGGCGCTGCAGCTCACGAAGTGCTCGAGAGGCGCCAAGCGCCAGCGGTTCACGCTTACGGATGGAGTGTGGGCCGACGGGGGCGACGACGGAGACACGGATGACTCGCTCCGCTGCATCTCGGCGAGGCCAAAGTACCCGTCGATCCTCCCAGCACGCTCCATCAGCTGGCAGATTTGGGCGAAGCCGCTGCCCGGCGGGTCCCTGGCCGTGTTCGCGGTGAATCGAAAGGAGCCTGGGCTGCAGGCAAAGGTGACTCTCGACGAGTTGCAGGAGAAGTTCGGCGATATGTTCCCGCTGGTCGAGGGCAACCCGTTCAAGGTGTGGGACATGTACGAGCAGAAGAGCCTCGGAAGCTTCTTCAACAGCTACACGACAGACCCGATTCCGATCAAGGATAGCAGATTCTTTATCTGAAGGGTTGCGCCCTCTACCGCCAGCCCCTCAGACAGAATTGCAAGCGGCTACATTGAGATACTGTTTGGGGGCCACCTTCGGGCCCCTCGGGGACATCTTGGCGCCTATTGGAGCCACCATCGGGCCACCTTGCACAACATTGGGGCTACCCTGGAGCATGTAGAGTCCAACTCGGGGCCATCTTGGGGCTCTGCTGGGCCATCCAGAGCGATTTGGGCATCATGTGGTCCTACGGGGCTTCCTTGTGGCCGTCTTCGGCAATCTCGGGGTCTCTGGGTACCGTCTTGAAGCGATCCTGGGTCCTGGAGCTATCACTGAGGCCTCGTGGGCTCTCTTGCTTGTCTGATTGCGTCGTGTGGGAATCCTGGGGCACCTTCAGCGGCCAGGAAGCTGAGCGACCCCGCCGCCCCCAGGCGGCTTGTTTTTGTCCCCCTCCAGTAAACAGCAAAAAGGAGACACAACGGGAGGGAGCAAGAGGCAAGAAACCACCACGTCCCGAACGGGGCCGGAAGATTTTCAAGCCGGTCGCTTCTTGCGGGCCCCTGGCGCCCTTGTGGTGGGCGCTCTCCATTGGCGCGGGGCTGGGATTCGCGTTCCTGTGCTGCAGAGGCGTTGGCGAAGAGGACCAGGAGGGCAGCGCGCGGGGCGCTGCCCAGGATGGCCATGCGCTGCTCAAGGCACAGCGCCAAGCTGGCGCCGAGGGCATGGGCGACGCTCCCGAGCTCGAGGAGGGCGCGGAGGGGTTATTGGACAAGTTGGCCGCATTTCCGATTGGTCTGTTGCAGCGGTGCGGCGTCAGCGCCCGCGCCTCCATGGTGCTGATCTGCGTCGTGATTTGGTGGAGTTCTGCGATCTACGTGACGGCCATGTTCAAGAAATCCACCAAGTACTCCATGCCGTTCTTCACGCTGACGTTTCTGGTCAACACAACGTGCGGCATCATCTCGTTTGTCTTGTCGAAAGTGGTGCTCCGGGAGGGGCCGCTGCCGAAAATGACGAATGGCGAGCTGACGCGGGTGGTCGGCCTCGGGCTCATCGCAGGCTGCGAGTTCGGGTGCTTGAACAAGTCCCTGGAGGGTTTGGCGGTGTCCGAGCGGACAATGCTGCAGAACATGAACGTGCTCCTCATAATGGCCGCAGCCCGGCTGTGCAAATTGGAGTACATCACTGCACTGCGTGTGGTTGCTGGACTCCTGCTGGTGGGTGGTGGCTTCCTGCAGTGCCTGGACTCCATGGGAGGGGTCACGCTCGAGGTCACCAGGAGGGGCGACTCGGGGGGGCTGAACGTCGCGGGCACGCACTTGCTGGTGCACTTGCCCGAGCTGTCGGCGGTTGAGCAGGATCGGGCCGACAGCCACGCCAAGGGTCTGACTTTCATGCTCTGTTCGATGCTCTTGACCGCCGTAAAGTGGTCACTGATCCAGATCATGACCCAGAAGTCGAGTCCAGGATCCGCTCTGGGAAGAATGTCGAAACTGCAGTTGGCGTACCGCGCGCAGCCCATCACCGGCCTGGTGTGCTTTGGCCTTGCGGCGTTCTTCGAGAGGTGCGCGTTGTGTCCAGAATTGTTGTTGTCGTCGGGGATGATGTTAATCATGCCTTTCATCTCTATTGGCATCGTCTTGATCACTGTCTCCGAGTTGAAGGTAGTCCAGCTGACATCTGCAGTAGCCACTGCTGTGTTGATGAACTTGCACCATATCCCCATGGTGCTCGTCGGCGTTATCTTGTTCCAGGAGACCGTGAGCGTCAATGCTGCTGTGGGTTTCGTCTTAACTTGCGGTGGTGGCATCGCCTACGCCATGGCTGGGAAGCAAGAGCAGGCCAGGGGCAGCGGGGACTCCGACAGCTCCAGCGACTCCGACGACGAGGAGGAGGATTCGGCCAAGTGAAGTTGCAACCATCCGCAGTGCATAGCCTCTGACAACAAAACGGTCGATCAGACAGTGTCCGATGTTGAGGGAGGTGCACTGTACCGTCCAGTGCCTCACGA